ATTATGGTTTGTGTTTTTTGTTGTTGTTGTTGTTATTATTTTGTTTGTTTTTTTGAGACAGGGTTTCTTTGTGTAGTTTTGGCTGTCCTAGAACTAGCTCTGTAGACCTGGCTGGCCTTAAATTCTCAGAGATCCACCTGCCTCTGTTTCCCAAGGGCTGATTAAAGGCATGCGCCACCCCCACCTGGCCAAAGTCATGTTTTGAGTTTTAATTACTATGCCTAGGAGATCCATAAAACAGAACTCCTCAAACCTGTGAGCCCCTTGACCAAGAACAGATATATCCTGAGACGCTGGAAGCTGTTGTTCATGTAAGATAACAAGCCACGTGTTTCTACTTCTCTAAACAAGCTTGCTTGGCCCAACTGTACCCAATGTGCTCGATCACACCTAAGTGGGATGAATGTAGGCAGGAAGTACATCAGGATGTATGTGTGCCCTCGAATGAACAAAGATGGGAAGTATGTAGCCTCATGAGTTTGCCTTTATAACCATCTGGCTAACATAGCTCATGGCCATTTTCTGAGAGCCCCAGAATGAATCTGGCCAGAGTCCATCACCCTGGCCAATATTTAACTAAAGCTTGCTTCAAATCTGGCTCAAATTATAAGTGTCTTATTCTTGTCTGGTGGGATTAGCATAGCAATTGAAATAATTTTATGGTTGGGGGTCACCACAACATGAGGAACTGTATCAAAGTGTCACAACATTAGGATGGTTGAGAACCTCTGCCCTAAAGATTCTACCACCTCTGAACTGCCAAAGGCTGGGGACAAAGCCTTTTACACACAGCATGCTGGGAGACATTTAAGGTCCAAACTAACATCATTCAATGCAGTATGGCAGAAATCATGACGCGACCTTTACAATGTGACTTCACTGTGGTTGGATAGAAAATTCATGTTGATGTGCTGCAAAGACTCCTCATCTGCCATGGTGTAGGAATACTCAGATCAACAGAAAAAGACACCATGTGGCACCATCTATCCTGTGTCGTGGGCTAAACTGTCTTGTCAAATGCATGTTGAAGCTCTGACCATTGTGTAATTGTGTTGGGAAATGGGTTTTTGTGAGATAATTGGAGTTAAATGAGGTCACAAAACCGTGACCTTAACCTGAAAGGATTGGTGACCTTGCATTAAGAGGAACAGATATGCATCTCATGCCTTGGCACGCACTGAGAAAAGGCCATGCGAGTACTTGCACAGTGTGCAAGCCAGACAGCTCTCACCGCAGACATCCAGAGTACGAGCCGACCAAGACTGAGTGACACTGAGGTGTCTCTAAGCCACTTTAGCACTAGCCACCCCTAGTGAAGCTTCACTGAGCTCCTAATTCAGAACTTGCTAGCAGGTTCCCTCCTGGAATCATGGTCCGTAGAAACTGAGAATATGAAATGACTGTGGACCTCTTTGGGCATTCTGGCTAAAAGGCTGTGCGTCAATGGACAACTGGAACTTTTGTCAGGCACATATATGTACAAAGAAAGAACCAGGAAACATAATTTCACATTTTCCATCTAACACTAAAGCTTAGTGTAAGAGAACTAATGAGTTGAGGTATGGCCAGAGTATTCTGACTATGGATCACAGTTTCACATTTCTACTCATTCAAGAGAAAAAAAAAAAAAAGACATGATAGTGAAAATAACATCTAGAATCTGGTTACTTTCTGGACTGGTGGTATCTGGACACTTAGTATTATAACACTAGTTTCATTTTAGTAAAGCATGCCTGAAATTTCTGACTCAAAATCTGAAATTTATTTAATTTAAAATTTTATTTATGTAGCTCAGTCTTATGTATTACATTATGGCTGTCCTATATCTTTTACAGAAAAAGAAAACATTTAGAATATCTGGGATATTTCTGATTTTGTCCTTACTGATAAATGGAATGATACTATTTTTTTTCTTTTTTATTTATGTTTTTTATTAATTACAATTTATTCACTTTGTATCCCAGCTGTAGCCCCCTCCCTTGTCCCCTCCCAACCCCATTCTCCCTCTCTCTTCTCCTCCCTTGCCCCTCCCCCAGTCCACTGATAGGGGAGGTCCTCTTCCCTTCCATCTCATCCCAGCTATCAGGTCTCAACAGGACTGGCTGCATTGTCTTCCTCTATGGCCTGTTAAGGCTCAGGGGGAGATGATAAAAGAGCCAGCCACTGAGTTCATGTCAGAGACAGCCCTTGTTCCCCTTACTAGGGTACCTACTTGGACACGGAGCTGCCACAGGCTACATCTGTACAGGGGTTCTAGGTTATCTCCATGCATGGACCTTGGTTGGAATATCAGTCTCAGAAGGGACCCCTTGGCCCAGAATTTTTGGTTCTGTCGCTCTCTTTGTGGACCTCCTGTCCCCTCCAGGTCTTTCATCTCCCCCTTCTTTCATAAGATTCCTGCACTCTGCCCAAAGTTTGACTATGAGTCTCAATATCTGCTTTGATACACTGCTGGGTAGAGACTTTCAGAGGCCCTCTGTGGTAGGCTCCTGTCCTGTCCTCTGTTTTCTTCATCTTCTGATGTCCATCCTGTTTGCCTTTCTGAATGAGGATTGATCATCTTACCCAGGGTCCTCCTTCTTGCTTAGCTTCTTTAGGTGTACAGATTTTAGCATGTTTAGGAAAGATAATATTTTTAAAGCGCCCAACCTGATAGAAAACTGACATTGATAACTGTAGCTTTTAAAAAATACTGCCTATTTGTCCTGGAAGGTATTTAAAAGTAACTACATGAGTTACCTAATGAGTCCTGATGCAAAAACAAACACAATAGCTTTCATTACTCTGATACAACTTCAGCAACACACAGCAATCATTGCGTACAGTAACTACGCAGGTGGAAGGATGTGGTGACTGTGGAGCCAAACCTGAAACATCCTACATTGCTTCAATGTAGGATGAATAAACATAGAAATTCCATGGGTGCACTGGTGACTGACAGGTCAGCAGGGTGCTGGTCTATGCTACAGATGTATCTGCTCTCAAATTTAGGAAACATGGGTCCCAAAGCAAAATTTAAAAGTAGGACAAGGAAAAGTAATGCGACAACCTTCTGTATTTGGATAACACTTGAAAGAACCAGAGAAGGTGGAAAGAGGAAAAACAAAACAAAACAACAACAACAAAAAAAACAAACTTTACTCCAAATAAGAACCTATTCAGGATGGAGGTCTGGGACTGTAGCTCAGTGGTAAGGCGCTTCCCTGGCAGGGAGGCCCAGGGTCTGATCCCCAGTGGTGGCAAGGGGAAGGAGTACAGAAATTTAGATAATAAGAAATATCATAAATCATTTTCATTTATTATTTTTATAGTGCTAAAGATGAACCACAGTGAGGACTATCAACTACAGGGTGAAAGTGGTCATCCAGCCTGAGAAGCTAAACAGCACACACACCTCATGAGCCTAAGTCACGGTGGTGTGTTCTGTCGGAGCTGCAAATTAAACAGCAGGGAACAACAAAAACAAAAACCGGTATTTCAACTCCTCATAGAAAGTTTTTTTATATTTCTGATTTTGCAGAAAGAAACATGCAAAATAAAATACATATGTAAAATTTCAATAATTTTATGGAAATGCTGGGAAATGTCAGGAAAAGAAGGATTTGAAGAAAGGCAGGCTTACAATGCTAGGAGGCAACTGTGTGTTAGTGCTAAAACATCAAGGGCATTCAGGGCAGATTCACCTAGAACATTCTTCATTTGGAATTTCTGTGAGTCCTGGATATTTTAAGGACACAGGCAGAATGGCTCTGGCATATCAGCAGTATATTATCAGTACTAAAGTCCAGATTATAGGATCCTCAGATAACAACTGAGTTCATCTCTATCTAACTGATTTGGTCTACCACAGTAGACCAATAGCTTACAAAGTCAAAGAGGTTTTTCCATTGTGCTAACAAGTTCATGATAATTTAAAAAAGCTTAGATTTCTGAATATGCACCCTTCTACATTCAGGATTTAACTCTGAGTGAATGCAATTCAGAACTCAAGCCAAATCTAACTGATATAAAACAACACTGGAAATTACTATACACTGCCAATTACTATAATTGTTGAAAACAAACTTGAAGAATTTAAAGTACTTTTTATTCTTTTAGTAATAAAGGTTAAATCCAGGGCCAGGCACATGCACACAGATGCCCTACCATCTGTGCACCTGTGCACCTGTGAGAGCCAAAGTTACATTTAAGTTTTACCTACTGTGCCTAAGAGACCCATGGAATAAAAATGTCTCTAACCTGTAAGCCCCTTGCCCAAGGACAGATACTTCATGAATAACGGTGACTATGTTTATGGAAGATAACAAGCCAGAGGTTTTTACTCCCCTAAACAAGTTTGTTTGACCCAAGTACACTAGATGTGCTTGATCACATGTAGGCAGGAATTATGTCGGGATGTATGCTTGTTATGATTGGATCTCACGTGAAATATGGTGAATTATGGGTCCTGCCTTTTTAAGCCCCTGCAAAACATGACTGGGGCTATTTTCCGGAAACCCAGAGATGAACCTGGGCAGAGAGCCCATCTACCCAGCCAGTATTTAATTAGAGCTTGTTTCAAAGTTGGCTTTGAACTATGGTAGTGGGCTTATTCTCAATTGGTGGGATTAAAAACCAGATCCACCCAGGGTCCTGCATGCACGCGCGCACACACACACACAAACCAGTTCTACCATGAACTTCACTAGACCCCAAGGCCCTGCACAGCACATTCCTACTCTACCAGGCTACACTTAGCTCCCAGGTTCTTACTTTTTAAAAAATTCCATATTCGTGTTCGCCTGTGTATGTGTATGCTGGGAGACCACAGAGGCTGGAAGAGGGTTTGGATCCTGGAGCTGGGGTTAAAGCAGCGTTGAACTACTCAACTGGGTGCTTGGAACCAAGCATGGGTCCTCTGCAAGAACTGCGAACACTCTCCCCTGCTGAGCTTTCTCCCCGGCCCCAGGTTTTTCTCTTCTTCCTTTTCAAGGATCTATTACTTGTAATTTATTACTTACTTGTAAATGGACAATTCTCTGAAATACATCTTCTCGCATGCCCATCTCAATATCAAAACGAGAAAGCCTTTTGTCTGCTTCCGTGCTTGCAGCCCGTACTTCTCTGTCAGATGACACGTGCTGAGGGAAGTCCAGCATGGTTCTTTCCACTGTTGAGGGAAGAAAAACTATGAATACGGCAGGACTTGTCAGACTGGCAGTTAAGCCAGTATCTCCTTTTGAGGTGAATGGTTATGCTGACTTAAGGTTTTTGTTTTGTGCTTTCTGCAAAGGCTCCTGAAACTATCAAGAGACAGTCCTGGATGTGGGAGTTGGCTGTTTCACTTGGCATCATTCTGAACAGTAAGGCCGTGCACTCAGCACCTACCAAAGTACATTCAGGGCATAACTGACTAACTGTGAATTATAAAGATGTAATTCCTATACATGACTGTCTTATGATCTGGGAAGGCAGGGACCTGGTATATAAAAGTAGATGGCAGAGGCTGTGAGCTGTCAGTGAGAGGGATATGGGCTCAGAGGCAGCAGCTCCCGAGAGCTGGGACACAAGGTGGTGTGCGGTGGAGAACTCCAGAAGAGGAAGGGCATGCAGTGCTGCGGAAAATAAGACTGAACCCAGAGGACCCAGCCGGGACACTAGATAATTACAAGACAAGCCAATCAATGTAGCAGGAAGAGGTCTGTATAAAAGAAGTTCTTAATCATTTCCCCTACTACAGACTCCTTGCAGAATTTAATCTAAACTGCAGATCCCGCCCAAAAGGCACACATCAAATAAACATATACACCCAGCAAGCAGCTGGGTACTGTGGCTGCGACTGTTAAATGGTGGTAATGGTCTGCTCTAATCTTCACATTACAGTCAGTTGTTGACTTTTCCTATTCTTTAATTGGGCAAAAATCTCTGATATTAGAGTGAACTAACTTTGACTACAGAACTTTCAGTGATTGGCTGGTTACACTATGACAAGAAATGCACCTACGGTTTCCAGTATGACATTTGTTCTGAGACAGAATCTCACTGTATGGCCTAGGGTGGCCCTGAATTTATGATTCTCCTGCTTCAGCCTCCTGAATGTTTGCAATACAGGTATACAGCATGTTTGGGCTCACCATCAGAATCTTGCCTGTTTTATAAACTGGAAAAAATTACACAAGCAGTACAGAATAGACACAGAGTCATCCTTCACTCATTAAGAAACAGATAAATCCATACTTACATCAGTCTTCTCAAAACATTGCTACCAGTAAAACTACTAAAAACATGTCAGAAATAGCAGAATAAATGTAGTCTCTACCACTGAGTCATAACCCCAGTTCCACAATACACACTTCTAAAAAAAAAATCAGATTCTGCAACTATATTGCAGTGCTGATTTAGTATATAATTTTACATTTGATAATTAGGGAAAATATGGCACAGATTTAAATTTTCATACATAGAACACTGTTTTAGAACTACAAGTAATAATAATAATACAGTTACAATTTCTGTTTACTAAAAAGCAATTATAGTTTCTCAAGAACCTAAACGGGTAACATGAAGTGCCAGGAGCCTAAAACTGGAAACAATCCTGAACAATACATGAAGACCATTTCCTTCCTTCCTTTACCACAGAAACCTGGAAGCAGAGTTCCATTTTCCCTGCCAAGCTATAAACAATGCTGTTTGTGTCCAGGCCAGACACTGGATGAAGGAGACTCACAGCCACTGAGGCATGTACCCCAGAACAGGCAGATAAGAGGGAGTTAGTTTTGAGAAGCCTATTCTCTCAGAGGCTTGATCTGTAATGATAAATTTATGGAAAGCAAGGACAAATACTATAAACTTCTATGTTTAAAATATTCACTACGGGGGAAACCCAGAACTCAAGAGAACCGTTTTTAAGTGAGTTTGTGCCTCCTCCTGCCCTCACTGTGTTTCCCTCTTCCTAGTCAGATGCACAGACTGTTAGGCTGCCACACTAGCTGGATAAGGAAAAGTAACTGAAGAAGAAATGAGAATCTCTACCAAGAACAAACCTACCCTGCGTGACAGAAAGGACTAGGCAGATCCTTCACTTAGGAGTTTACAGTTAGGCCTTAGAAGAAGCAGTAGCCACTACCCAGAGAGGAGGTTGGTAGTGGGACTAGAAATGGAAACAAACACAGAGGGAAGAGAAAACACCTAGTCTTGATGACCATGGTGTGCAGTGTAGCAACACTTCGTGGGTAGGGGCGGGCAGGGCGAAGAGTGGGAGGGCCAGTCGCGAGAGCTGGGCTGGTTTTGAACAGCCTTCCAACTTCCACAACACATTCAAATGTTTATGATATCCAGTTTGCACCTATTTTATATCTTTTTATTGAAGCCTGGATACACAGCCAAGGTTGTTTAGTCACAATTACCCTACAGAAGTATGTCTGATTCTTAGAAGTAACCAAAGTGAGCCTTCACTTGTGTAACTCTAAGGATACATTTAAATTGCACAGACGAAGATGGAGAAATGAATAAAGAAAAATCAGCGGTAAACAACTCACCCAAGACACTAACCACTATGATGAGTGACTTCATGGGCTGACTTGGGGGCATTTTTGGATACACTAACACTGAAGTTGGAGTTCACTGGTCTCCACGGGCAGGTAGCCCCAATGCAATCAACTGAGGAGGGCCTGACTAGAATGAAAAAGTAAGGCAGAATTCTCTAGTAGTCTGCCTTTATATGTCACACAGCAGGGTTCTGGGACCACAGGTCAACCCTGCATAGTTTAGACTTGCTCTCTTCCATGCTATGTTAGCCAGCTCCAATGAGAAATCTCTACGGCCATGCATACAACCCCAGGGCTCTGCTTTCCTGGAGAATCACAACAGAAATAACACCATTAATAGTTTCTTTCAGTCTTCCTTCCAGGTGTGGTTTGTTGCTGCTTCTGAGATGAGGTCTTGGTCTGTAGTGCTAGCTAGCCCTGTACTCACTGCACAGCAGTGGCTTGGCTGCTCTTCAGCTCTCACAGTTCTCTGCCTCAGGCTCCCAGTGCCGGGATCACAGATTCCTTCTGTACACTTTTCTTCTGTGCTGTTACATACTTTTTCAAACTATGATTTCAATGGCTACATGGACTTACGGAGGATGGATGTTTCATCATTTATCTAACTATCAAACTGTGTCTCTAGTTCTATAGTAATCTAATTCTGTATCAGCTGACATTTAAGGCTGGTTTCTGAGCCTTTGATATAAAAACAGTATACATTTATACATTGATTTATACAAAAATCTTGCCTTTATTCCTTCTTTATTCGGTTTTTTTTCAAGATTTATTTATTATTTATACAGTATCCTGCTTGGATGAATGGCTGCAGGCAGGAAGAAGGCACCAGATCTCATTACAGATAGTTGTGAGCCACCACGAGGTCACTGGGAAGTGAACTCAGGACCTTTGAAGAAAGCCAATGCTCTTAACCTCTGAGCCTTCTTTGGAATGAATTTCTAGATGCATTATTCTGGGTGAGGGTAGGAGCCTCAGCAGCGCAAGGGGAGTACACACTGAGCAGCACCTCATGAGCTTCACCACTTAAGTCCTTTTATTCTGAGCAATAACCAACCTTGTGTAGGTGTCAGTTTCTTGTAAAACTGACTGTTCAGACAAAAAGGGTAAATGGCTGTAGCTTCCACAGAACAAAATACCGACGTGTCTCCACTCACCTATGTACTTCACTTCTACGTCGGCCAGCACCTGCAAACAGTTCTCGTAAGTTACTTCTTTCAAGTCGATTGTCCCCACAGCATCGTACACCTGCTTGGTCTGTGCGATAAGCTCCTCTGTCCTTGTCTTGATCTGCTCTGGAGAAAGGTCCCATCTCAGAACGTTCCTGCCTACTGCACTGTAGGAGGACACAGCCTGAACGGGAGATGCCACTTCCCTTCCCAGTGTCATTCTGAGCAGGATCCTGGAAGCACCAGCTCTAAAACAAATTGAAAACAGAAAAAACAGATATCAGGGACTTCTGTGGGACAGAAGCTAAAATAGAAATACATAATGCAGTCAGATACCAAGTAAGAGCTTTGTGAAAAAAACAAACAAAAAAAGAACCAATCAACTAAAAAAAAAAAAAAAAAAAGAAAAACCTAACAACCTTTTCCTAAAAGAAAAAAAATGAGTAAAACTGTTATTTTCTAGCATAATTATAGTTTTAGTGGAATGAACTTGCGTATATGAAATCATACAGAAGAACCTAGCTGTCAGATACATGACAACTGCTCTTTAAAAATTAAACTAGTCTTTTCTGTGCTAGTTTCTATCTGTACAGATTTAAAAAATAAAGATTTTCCCAAAGAACATTACAAATATTCTCTTTTCATGTTAGATACCAATCTCCCCCATACTTTATGTAAATAAAAATAGTAGTTTGTCTCCACTACAGATGTTACATTGTGATAAAAGAAAAATTGCAAATAAAGAGACTAGTCCTTATTTCCTTAGATATTCCAACTAAAAATATTGCCACTTTGCTTGTATGGCTAGAATATCTCTTTCTCTTCTCTCCCCAACTCAACCCTTGCCCCAATTTTACAACTTTGAAATTAAAAAAATGTCATGTTTACTAGATAACAGTTGTATAGTGAATGTTTAGGCACTGATCAAAATATTTTCCATGGGATTAAACTTAGACTTTCAGTAGCCCTTCACAGACGCATCCTGTGGTCATTCTCATTCTACTGAAGAAGACACTAGAGCAGATCAAGTAATTTGCCCAAGGCCACATAGCTAATCATCCAGTGAGAGCTGGGATTAGAAATCAGGCAGTTCGGACCTGTAACCCCACTGCAAGGCACTATGCTAAGCTTAATTTCTCTATTCTCACAAAATCCAGAACTACCGTTTAGGGAGGCAGGGCACTCTCCCTGTTAATCAGCAAGGTGATGAGGCTCAGCCAGCTCACATGTTTAAGGTCATTTGTCCAACAGAATGCATGCTGCATATGCGCAGCCAGCGTCCTTTGAGGGTGAGCCTAACTCCACAACACTTGGCCCCCTAATGCAGCACATGTCTTTCTGCCTGGTCTGTCTCACCTGGAAGTTGCTATTGGCTCCATCCAAATAAGGTGTAGTGTCACCCAAGAGTCTTGGGTCCCACTCCTTTAGAAGCTTCACCTTCAGTATGAGGTAATGAGTTGGAGATTTGCTTCTGAACACTTCCTCTTAGAAAGTACATGTACACACACACACACACACACACAGACACACATAGATAGATAGATGGATGGATGGATAGATAGATAGATAGATAGATAGATAGATAGATAGATAGATAGATAGATAGA